ATAAACGACAAAGAAAAGAATTTTGTTTTAAGGTACAAACTTCCATATATAAGACAGCATCAACAATGTGCTCGAGAACACGAGGCCCAGCTATGTCACCAGATTTTGTCACATGCCCAGCCTGAAAAACAGAAGAGAGGGAGAAAGTGAGAAAAGAGCAGAAGCATAAGAGATCAGCCAATAATATTAACCATGTTCAACCCATGCAATTTGAATACAAAAATTACAGGTAGACAGCATTCACATGAAGGCCTAGAAATCAGCCATCAATGTACCAAAACAATTATTTTGATGAAACAAAGCATAAACGTAAGTATAAAATTAAACAGAAACAAATCAAAAGCCAAGATATCACTACAAAAAAAAAAAAAAAAATCACTGCAATTCCTTTGTAGATAAGCAAAAATAGAGGGTGTGTTTGGTTTATTATTTTAGATGGGATTTTTGGAATAATATTGGGTAGTTGAATAAGTGAGTATTACGAGGTAAAATTTAAAAATTTATAAAAAACCCCTAAGTTTGCTAATTTAATTAAACACCATAATATATAAAATGAAAAAAACACCCCCACCACCCGCAATGCCAAATTTCGGTCACCACCGCCGAAATCTGGCCGGAAAATTGTGTTACGACCCAGACCGGTCGGATCTGTGTCGTAACGCGTCGATATGGTGGTGGATCTGGCCGGAAAAGGCCAGATCTACGGCCAAATGTGGTCGTCGATGACCGCAAAGGTCCATCTTTGGCCATCGTTTTCGGTCAACGATGGACAAGATTTGGCCATCGTTGACCATCAATGACGGCCATTTCTTTGGCCGTCTCTGGCCTTTTCCGGCTAGATCCACAGCCAAATTTACTGTGGATCTAGCCGGAAAAGGCCAAATCAGTGAATAATCGGCTAGTTCCGGTCGTGGTGTAAGCCGTTGTGACAGATTCCGGCTACCACCGACGGTGGTTGCCGGAATCTGGCAAGTATGGGTGGGTGGGGGTGTTTTTGCTAATTTTTAAACTTTTTTTCTTGGAGGTATTTAGTGAAATTAATAAACTTAAGGGGTCTAAAAGTAATTAAAAAATACACTAATATTTCTCAAATAATGTGCCAAACAATATTTGAGGAATAGGATTGGGAATATGGGTAGAAATATTGAACCAAACGCACCCAGAAATAATTTAGAGTTGCACATCGGCCACCAAATAAGGAACAACTGAACAATAGATTCAACATTCATGTAGCATATACTTAGAATTTAACAAAACACATTTCAAACACCTAGTATCAAATTTTTCCCATTAATTATGAAAGTGCTCTCACTCTATTAAAGTGAGTTTAGAAAGAATTCAATAAATTGAATGTGTTCTCACCAAAAGAATTGGGATGTTAGACTTCTTTGCAAAACGTAGCAAGGCCGAAGTACATTCCCTCACCTGTCGTACATCAATGCAATGTTAATACTCAAAAGAAAATGCAACCACAAAACCACCCTATAAGATTACCCAAACATATTATAACGATATCAGTTGCAACGCTCATTAAGAACCCAAAACTACAAAATCTGCCATCCTTACATTCTTCTCATTTCTATTCAGAAATGTTAACAACTTGGGTTGCAGAGCAAGGTTAAAATTTGAATATAATACAAAATTAATTCACAAATGATAACATTTTACAGTTTTTATCAACTAGAAATAGGTTGTTAAAATTAGAGAATGATTTGAGCTATGTCATCTCATACATCATCTCACAAAGATCATAACAGAAGCAGCATATAAGTCAAACAGATTAAGCTAAAACATGCATTAAGACATGGCAGGACAATAGACCATAAAAATCAACCTGTGTGAGCCCTCCAGCGCTTCCAGTAACATCCTTTAAATAAACTGTTTGAATTGAATCAATTATTAGCACCCGAGGGGAGAGGGGCTGAACTTTTTCTAATATGTCCTGAAATCAGAAAAAGATACCAATTATTTTGGGCATCCCCATGATGCTCCAGATCCGGAAAACTACACATAACATTTGCTTTCATGATAAAGCTAACAAATTTGGCTGCTGAGGAAAAGTATCAGGCAATTACACGGATAGCACTCACAGAATACTTAGTTCAATACTACTTTCTGCATAAGAAAAAAATTATTTGATCATGACATGTATAATACAAACAAACTTTCTGAAACGAAAATCTTCTTGGCATCCAAAAAAATTAGAAGATCATGACAGTATTACATAAACAAACATTCTTAACCACAAATCTTCTTTGCACCCAATTATAACAGATATTTTGGTGCAAGTACAGGTGAAGTTAAGTAATAGCAAAGAAAAAAGTTGATTTGATGTTAATACACAAAGCAGCAAAGGAGGGATGGTGAATAGGAAGAAATGATTGCTCTTATACCTCACAATGCATTCATGTTAACACATAAATCAAAACAATACAAAAAGGAAAATTTTCAAAATTGAGTTATAAAAATAATAATAATAATCGAGTCAATCAGATATAAAAATCATAAACATAATAGTGTAGTTGTGCAAAGGAAAAGATCAGAAAGGTCAGTCATAAGAAAAATTGGTATAAAAACTGGAACCTCCACATCGGTACTGCAATACAAGAAAAGTTCCTCCGCTCCAATCTCCATCCGATCAGCTCTATTTCCAATTTGCTCAACACTCTGTCACAGTGAGGAAACAAAAGGGAAACAAGTATTACTCTAAAGTCTTAAAGGTGTCTTGATGTCTGCATATCCATAATGAAACCACAATTGCAACATTTAACAACAACATATAGCATGATTTCCCAATCCAGAAGCTAAATAGGCTTCCAGAAACTAACCTAGAATCAAATAACCCAAGATCTATTCAAAGCATTTTAAGCATGTCTCCCATCTGATGAAGTTTTCAGCAAACTATCAGTTAGAAATTCACGAAACACTAAAAATACTATAATTCAATTCAAAAGAGTGAACATAATCATGCTTCTATGTTTGACAAATTAAACCGTGCAAAACAATCTCATCAAAGGTCCTAAAAAAGTAAAAGCTATTTAGTTATTTATTTAATGACTACCTAACAGACGCCAAAGAAACAAAGAAAAGCATAAGCCTAAAAGGGTAGTCAACCCTCCTTAGAACTTTAGTTCTCTCAGTGGTCATCTAGTCCACTTTTGTAGAAAACATTTCCACTATTAATTCTATAAAAAAAAAAAATTATTATTTTTGTATATAAAAAAAAAAAAAATCAAAACAACACACACACACACACAACGAAAAACACACCGAAAAGAATTAGAAAGCTGAAAAATGTACACGACATGCCATAGTCATGCTTTGAAAGAAAAGACAATTATCAACATGAAAACACTAACCTCTTCACCAGAGACATACACAACTGGAGCACATTCACCAACATCACGACCTTCAGCTATTATTGCGGCCATCTGCCAGTTCAAATGTAAAAATTGACATGAAAAGAAAGCTATTATTACACAAAAATGAATCATGCAATAAATCAAGGAATTAAATTCCTCAGTATTTTGATAGAGCATTCATATGTCTGTCTGTAGAATGAAGATCCATGAGCCAAAATTTAACGCTTGCAGGAATTACATACCTGCAACAGCAGTGTGCTCTTGCCAACACCAGGATCGCCACCAACCAAAACTAAAGAGCCTGTAAACCAGCAATCATAAACAATGAAAAAATAAGTTTAGGAATATCCAATTTACAGGGGAGAAAAATTCTTAAGGCACTAAGGTCATTTCTTTTAATAAGCTGATGCTGAAATAGAAGGATTCATGCTGTCAGCCAGAAATAGAATAGTGAGGTATTACAACAAAAATTTCTTTGAACACAATGCAACTTTTTTTCAGTTAAAACTGAATTTCTAGAACAGAGGCCACATAGGTAGTAAATCTGACAACAAGATGCAATACATGCAAAGGGAGGGAAGGAGGGAGAGAAGTATAGTATCTAATGCTATTCAAGGCCCAAATAAGATTTCAAAAGGTTGGCTTCCAAGAATTCTAACTAATTAAATTGATAAAGTTTCGGCCCTAAAATGTTGGATAATGAAATAAATATGTAAGAATAAATACATTTAACTGACATTAACTAGTAAACAATTCTAGCTTATAAATACAGTATCATATCTCCAATAACCACCATCAAATAAATTCAGCATCAACAAGTAAGAAAACAAGGAAGTTAATAACTCCAAGCAATTAACGAAAATAAGAAATAGAAACAGTCACATGAAACAAACCTGGTACAAGACCACCACCAAGCACCCTAGCAACTTCATTCCCAAAGGGTCCAGACCTAATATCAAGAGACACAAGAACCAAAATGGAAATGACAAGTACCTTCCATTATAAGAATCTCGGGTTAAACTTTGCTTAATATAACTATTTGTAAAGGCAGACTTCAGATTCACTTTGACATGAACAAAGCATTTACAAGTCCATTATCTCATTTTTCTTACAAGTCAGTCCCCTCAACCTCTGCCCAATTGACCACAGTAATCACATCTGTTCATTCATATTAAATAATCTCAAACTAAAACTTACCCAATACATAAGAAAAACTCCCGAATGATTCCTAATCTTGCATCCACTCACTCCACCCAAATGATTCGTGATCTTCCATCCACTCACTCCACTTGACCCTACTACACCTCACAGATTTCTTCGTTACTAAAGGTTGCAATATCTTACACTTGTTCCAAATTTGCGACCTGGTTCACATGCAAGTAAGGCCAATGGACCTTTGGGTATCACTAAGCAGAGGAGTGTAGCAACAGCTGGTTAAGTCACTCTCTATAACACTCCACTCCATGTTCGCAATATTTATGTAGATTGACAAAACTAAACAAGACACATGGCATTACTCAGGAAGTGAATTTAACTAATTTTAACATTTCTCTAAGGAAAACATTAATGGGAAAAAAATTTTAACTTTTAAAAACAAAAATAAAACCAATTATATCACTTCAAATATTCACTGCTTACAAAGGAATTCTCCAATTCAACTGACTAATCCCCTTGTTCACATCTCGCAGACGCATTGGCTGCACCTGTTCCGGCTTCTGCGGCAGCCAAGTCCTCTCCACCACGTGTCTATTTCCACTATCCCCTTCAGAAAACATCTGCATCGTCCCCACGCTCTTACACGACCGACACGTCCCCCACCACTGCCCATCCGTGTGGCCACAGTCGGCACAAACCCAACTTACTCTATTGCCCTTCCCTTTCTTCTTATTTCCTATTATGCCCCCAACGCCTAAACTACCGTTCTTCTTCACGTGGGGTTTCTCCAAATCCCCTGAACTTTGACTTCTTAACTTCCCATAAACCATCTCCCTCTCCAAATCATCACCAACACTCGACTCCGGAACTGGGACGGGCTCCAGCTCTCGAGCTTCTTCGCTGCCTGTAACCGTCATTTTGGTAGCATGACCAGCAGCGACAGGATCATAAATAGACCATACACGAGGGGGACTTGGGGTTTCGGGTGGATGGCTGGAGTCGGGTTCGGAGCAGAGACGAGGGTTTACGGAGTGGATTTGGCGGGAAATTTGAGGAAATTGGCGAGAAAGAGAGTGGGATGGTTTGAGGAGAGGGAGAAGAAGTTTAGGAGAGTGGAAGCATCTGAGAGCTGATTTCATTTCTGGGAATTGCATGTGAAAGAAAGAGAGGGATTCTAGGGTTTTGTTAGGGTTTTGCAGAGGAAGAAACCGCGAAAGTTTTTAAAAGGAGGGCATATATATGTAAAATGAAATGTGCGGTATTGTCGTTTGCCTGGAGGACTAATAGACGACATGTAATATTGTTACAAACGCTAGAAACTAATGTCGGTCGTATCCATATCTTTGCCTCAATGGACGGTGTGTATTCTATCAAAAATATTATTAAGGGACAAGTCGGTCAAGTAGAAAGCTAATGACAGAGTTGTCGTATATTGTCTGCCATGATTCACAAAGGTGAAGATCAAAACACTCAGGTACTACCGGAACATGACTGATCTTCAGTTTTGGAACATCATCTTCCAAAATAAGATTGTTCAGTAGGCATGATATCCTACAAATCTGGCTCTGTATGCATCGAAGTTACTATTGGAAGTCTGGAACATGACTGATCTTCAGTAGTTGGTGTCACTTTTCCCCGCTCTTTCCTACACTTCAAACCAACGTAACCCCTATACAGAAGAACACAGACCCCATAATGGCGCTGCAAATGGACAATAAGAGTCTAAGACCTCAAATGTCCATCTATTCTTCTGGCCATGTGGCATGATCACCAATGTGGCTGCAACAAAAGGGGCTGCCATGAATGCTACCGCCTCCCACATCACTTTGTGAGCAACCACCAAGAATTTCATGAGAGGTTTTCTCCGAAAAGGAATGATGAGAACAAAGCAATGTACTTTCTGGGGTTTCCAGAATATCAAAAATGGTGAAGGAGAAATAACAATTTATACCCATAAAACCATAATGGATAAGTCAATCTTTTTAAAATATATTTATTAAAGAAAATGAAAATCATAGTGTTTTAACAAGAAAAGCAGTCGAATTGATGTTTATATATACATGGACAGATTTCAGATATCTCTCATATTGAGCAAAATATTATATAGATTTGTCAAACTGAAAAACAAACCAGCTTATGCCTTGATAAATAAGCCCAAAAACTTGATAGAAGATCAACTAAATTAAATAAAGAATCAGTCACTCTTTTCCACATAAGTTAACCAATTAAATGAAGACAATATGGTTAATGCCTTAAAAATATGGTTACTTGAACGAATAAAGGTTGCAGGGTTTTTCTTCCGTCGCTCTTGAAACTGGTAGCAAACAGCTATGGTTTAAACTAAGAATTATTGGATAAAAAATTATCTAAAGCAGAATTTGGAAGATCCATAATAATACGTAGACTAAAAAGATTAGGGCCATACGATAACTAATAGGATACATATCTAGTCAGTCTTTGCAATAGAAATCGTGTTACTGAAAAATGCGTCTGAATTATCCTATAAGCAATATCATTCAATGCATCTTTCAATTAAGGAATTTTCAATTGAACAATGCAATGTTTTCCTGGAATAAAGATAGCTTATATGGAAACAACCAAGAAGTACTTCAGAAAAGTTGGCCTTAAATAAAATGTTCAGTACGGATGAAATCCGTATCCTGAAGATATGGAACTGAATACATCAGAGTTACTAGAAAGTGATTTATTTTCATCTTCATTAACATCAGCAGAAATCCCAGTCTCTTCATCCTTCTCTTTCTCTTTCTCTTTCTCTTTCTCTTTACTCTCCTGTTTCCCCTTATGTTTCCTCCACTTCAACTTGCCCAGCCAGTGTCTAACCAACATAACTCCTAAACAAACAAAGACAGATCCAACAGTCCCACTGCAAATGGACACTAGAACCTCCAATGTCCATTTATCCCCCTGGCCATGTGGCATGATCACCCATGTAGCTGCAACATAAGCCGTCGCCATGAAGGCTACAGCCACCCACATTACCTTGTGAGCAACAACCAACAGCTTCATCAGTGATTTTCTTCGAAAGGGGATGATGCTGACTAGAACAACCACAATGCATAAAGATGTGAACAATGCAATGTTGTTGCTTATTGCAAACACCTTAAAAGCTGTTGTTCTTCCCACTGTTGATTTTCCCTTCAATGGTCCTTCCTGGTAGACACCACCAGGAGGACTAATGCCTGCAGTGAATGTAACTGTGGCAATCAAAATGGAGACTAGTGTGATTGTGTTCCGTGCATTTTGTAGCGCCTCTCTATATGCATCATGATGTTTATGATGATCACGCTTGTACATCTGAATTAGTTCTCGCCTGTGTTTCTTGCTCTGACGCTTCTGCTCAGGCGTAATGGTTTGGGTACTCCGTTTTGATGAGGACTCCGGTTCAGATAAGTGGCTACCCTGAACTTTCGGTTTCTCTCTGTCTTGATTCTGGACTGCTTTATTATGTTCCTGCATTTGAATGTCATATATATAGGCTAGAGACCTACCAGGTTCATTTTCTAGTGCATCTGTGGGGATTTCAGGTATCAGTGATTGAGGAATTTCAATGCCCATTTTGCCTCCTGCTTTCATTATCTGGTCCTTAAGGTGCTGAATGCCTGAAGCAGATCCAGCCTGGCTGAGGATGTCAAGGGCGGTATGTCCTTCATAGTTCCAATAATTAATTTTCGTCTTCATTTTAGGCAAGATATACTCAGCTAACTGAACAAGATTAGCATCTTCAATCAGCAGGGTACACAAGAACTTCAATAAAATAAAAAAAATAAAAAAAAAAAACCTTGAAAAATGGAATTAGAAGATAGTAATGCCAAACAAAACCAGTATCAAAAATGTGTATGCACTAACAGAAGCTCACACAGAGAGATCTATACTGACATTATAGTTTCCTTGGGAGATTGCAATATGTAAATTGGTGTTACCAAATCTGTCTGCTCTGTGGAGGAGATAGGTGGAACTGAAAACCTTTGTCAAATATTTAAGAGCATCAGAATGATTGAATCTTACAGCAAGATGAAACACAGTTTCTGATTCATTTTTTGTGAGCATCTGAAAGGATGACCGAGCTGCTGCCATAAATTCCTTGAAGATTGCAACATCACCGTTCATAGCTACCAAATGCAATGGTGTGTAACCATGGTTATCAAATTGCAGAGCAAGGTCTGAGTCAAACCATAGAAGCATTTTCGTTATCGCAACACGTCCTTTACTACAAGCATAGTGCAATGGAGAATATCCATTTTTGTCAATCTTTTGAGCCAAGTTTGGACATATTTTCAACAAATGCGCAACTATATCTGCACCATTGGTTTGATTAGTATCAGTACATAAATAGAACTTGAACTTGAAGCTAGCTAGTGTTAAAGAAAATATAAAATGCTTTCAGTACTTGGAAGACTAACTAAACAAAGATCAATCAAAGAAAAAATTCTTACCTGCATGCCCTTTAGAAACTGCAACATGAAGAGAAGTTAGATCATCATTATTTTCTTCTGTCTCCAGCAACCAGGGCTGACACAATAGAAACTTTACTACTTCCAGATGCCCGTTGCTGCAGGCAATGAACAATAAACTTTGTTTTCAGAGTTACACCTGCAAGACACCCATGGATCGGTTTACATTAGTAGCCTTACAACATCTGCATTCCCCTGGCGACAGGCATCGTGCAATGGAGTCTCCAAGTTCTTATTCTCAGCTGCAGTCATCTCTGGCCGCAATCTAATAATTTCTGTCACCAATTTGATGTGTCCATACCTTGCAGCAATGTGTAGTGCTGTGCTCAAGGATTTAGTGGTTTGTTCCAGAATTGCTTCATCTTCTTGAAATAATCTAATGAAACTGGGTAGGTCATTCCTCACTATTGCTGCAAGTAGCCTTTGATCCATCTCATCAAGTTCCTAATGTTTGCTATAGAGAGCCCAATTCTAGTTCTGGCTTCGCTTAATGAGCCTTTAATAATTGCTTCAAAAGTATACAAGAAACTGAGAGGAAACTGAGAAGCACAGAAATAATGCAATAAGAACAATATGTTTTATCTTCTCAGCATCTTCAAGGAAATTTCTGACGCTGAACCAGGTTGACTATTCTATGCAATCTTCACAACTGTTTGAATGACTTACATTATTTTAATTCAACAGCTAAAGGGTCAGAGCCCCCGGGCCCTGGAATGGCTCCAGAACCATAGCAGAGTTGAATGTTAAACAAACGACTAAATGTCAAGTCCACAGTGAAATAACTCTCAAATTAGTGAGAAAATCTGGAATCCACTAGGACTTCTGAAAGTTCCAATCTTCCTGTTTGTTGTCACATCTTGATTCCTTAACATTCAATACAGATTAAACTAATTAAATTTCTTGCTAACCATTCTTTTGTTCCTCTTAACAACTTTTATGTATTTACCCGTAAATTTACTGAGGAAAGAGAGACAGCTACTAAAGCAGTAATGTGTAATAGGATTTAAGAATTTTAGAAAAATACTTTTCTTCATCAACTTCCCCACCGACTATGTTTACCAAATCAGAAGTTGGGGCATTATTTTCCCTCAGCTGTGGAAAAGTAGCTGCCAAACAACAATGGAGTACGGCAAATATGCAAATAAAAGAGATATCTAGTGATTATAATCAAAATGATATATCTTCCTAGAAGAGGGTTTGAATTTTCCATGAGTATGGTCACTGTCAGTCGGTGCATCAATCCTTGCTTGCAGCAGAGGATTTCTGAACAAAGATTAGAAAATTTCTGCAGGAACATAGAAATTTGAATGATTGCAGGGCAAGTGATCTTGGAGGGAAATCTCAATAAGACAGAGAAAATAAAGCTTAAAATCAAACCAGAATAATGTAACATAAATGTATCTTCATAAATTTAAACCAACAATGTCCAAGTTCCAACTCAATACCTGGAATCTGATAATAAAGAAAACTAAACTAGAAGATATATAGCATGAAAACAAAACAACAGGTTATGCTGCACACCATACAATTGTTACAAATGTAACAACAAGTGCAATAAAAACTGAAAAAACAGTCACTGAAACAAGTTCTGCTGAGCTTTGAAGGGGCCCTGGCGCCAGAAATGGTTCAGGAGGAGCTGCAATAATGGTTGGGGGAGTGTGTGAGATCGGGTGCGAACCCATCACCTCAACAATGAGTCTCTGGCCATTCTTGCAGTGATCATGAACTCCACTGATGAAGTAGAAAGGCCCTGGCCTGTCAAGCTTAATAACACTCTTGCCATTGTTGAAGGCAATAATGGCCCCACTTGCATTGCAATGGTAAAAACCCCATTTGTCCACTTCAAGGATAGAATCATTCTTGTACTCAAAAACTACACAAAACAGAGCAAAACACACCAGAGAAAATCAGATCATTCTTGTACATCAAAAATTAAAATACATCTAAAAACTTGTACAATGATTTATACAGCATAAGTTTGAACAACTAAGTGAACTTTCAGCAATCGCTCTGCCATATTTAAGAGACAGACATAGAAGAAAATTGGCATTTGATCAACAAATGTCTCTAAGGAAATCATTAGAAGGTGAAAACAAACAAAGAAACTCACAAAGAGAATCCCCAACATGGAACCTGTTACTTGATGCCCAATGACTGTAAATCCCAGTGTTGTTCATGCTAGGCTCTTGCCAGCCATAGTCATCACCCACTTTAAACTCTTTCTTTGCTTCAACACCGAACCCGCCATGAATGGATGCTAAGAGCAGCATACAAGTTGCAGAGAGACTCAAAGTAGAGGCCATATGTGTGTGCTTCATTGTGTTTTTTCTTCTTGCCTATGGTAGCAAAAGTTTGAAAGCAATTAGGAAAATGAGTTGAGTTGAGTTTGAGTTTCATGTAAAGTTTGGAACAAGAAGAGTATTATAAAATAGAGAACATAGAGAGTGGGCAGCATGCGGCGGTTATTGGTAGTTATCGGGAGTTCATGGGAACGTGTGCAGTGTGCATGCCATTAAGATGCTTGCGGTTAAAGTTTGAAATAATGCTGCGAAATTCATATCCCATAAACAAATAATTATAAACAAATTCAGAAAATTTCTGATATTTATTAATAACAAATTAATTTAACCAGCAATAACAAGAGAAAATGTAAATGAGATGTTGCTGGACTGTTTAAAGAGGGGCGCAAATGGGCCTATAAATCTTTTTTTTTTTTTTTTTTTTTTTTTTTTTTTTTTTTTTTTTTTTTTTTTTTTTAATGACCGAGAGTGTCCTGACCAATTTGTGCATAACTCAATTAATCTCCAAAAATCTGAAATTGACAATCGAGTAAATTCTCTCAATAGTCACCCTTATTAAAAACTCAAATAGATCGAACTTATAATCTCTTAAATAATACACTCAGAAATCTTAATGACTACTAGATCATCATATGGTGGTTAGGGCCTATAAATCGTGATTGTTATCCGTTCATCAATGAAAAAAAAAATTGTATTACAATAATTTAAATTACCAAAAACAAGAATTATTTGCCAGGGATCGTAATATGCTTAGAGGTTTTGTTTGTATACATCTTGATTTGGTTGCCAATACATCATGTTTTAACTAGCACCAGGCTCCTACCAAAAAATCTAAGGAACTTACAAGGATCAGAAATAAGTATTTTTTTTTTTTTTTTTTTTTTAACTCCAAAAATGGAATAGTATAATATTTAATTATATTTCAGCGTAAAATGCATCTGTAAATGACAGAGTGAGCCCGAAAATGAGAGGACTTCAAAAGATAGGCTGGCACGTTATTAAACTTGCTCCGGCATGGAACCATGGCTTCTGCAATGCATGTTTCACTGGTTCATCGACACAGATAGGTTTCAATATGTGATTACTTTCTAAAGATAGGCTCGCACAGCAGTCAGCAGACAGGTAATTCCGGCATTCCATGTCATCGATATGCAGCCCTTCCAAAAGCCGAGTTCAGGGTCACATGTTACTCTCCCCAAATTGAAGATTAAGCAACTCGCTCACGCATTGCTCCCGACAGATGATGCATCCTGGGTAATCATCTGTTCTTGAAATTGTGCACGTTTGGCAGCCCTCAGGTCGAGTATACTGGGTGGCCTGGGTTGTATGCAGCCATGCAACTCAACGAGATGAAAGAACTCTTGTTTCGTCAAACTTTTCTTCTCGACAAGCTCATCTACCACAGCATCCATAAGTTTATGGTTTCGTTGCAGGATCTGATATGAAAACACTGTTTATACAGAAGCAGATAGTAAAAGTTGTAAAAATATGCTACTCTTGATATATAAAAATTTACCTCTTTTGCACGCTCATAACTCGAGTTCACAATCTGCAATGCCTCAGAATCAATTTCCTGAAGATTAAAAAACAAATCAAAATAAGCATCAGGATTTAGATCTATAGTCCCACAACATTATGGATACACAGAACAAACATACTTAATGAAAAGGCCACAATTTTTGGCCATGAACAATTTCAAAAATTAATCAACTGCAAATGATGCCAAAACAAAGCTTAGAAACCTCAAATAGAAAGGTAAGAAGAGTGATTCCATACATTAATTCGATCTGCTACCCAGAAGTTGGATAATCCATAATGCTTATCAGACAGGCCACCCAGAACAAAGGCTCGTGCTGCTGATCTAGCATTATCAGCTGCCTCCGCCCATATTGTACTCAGCTGGAATAATTCGACGAAGGAATGGAATTTCAAGTATCAAATTAGATAAATAAATCCAGAAAGCACAATGATATTAAACAAAACTAGGTCTTATAAAAACCATAGAAAGCCCTTCTTATGACCTCATAACCTAGATAGAGAATGTAATAGAAGCGTCACAAAGTATCACAGAAGAATATGTCAACTAGCACATTCCTTGAGGAAAAAAGTATTAAGTGAAGTTTTTCTTACCTGACCTTCACCATTCCAAAGCTCATCAGCAGCACGTGGAGCTAGTTGAACAGTGATATAATCCAGCAGGGATTGCCGACTGCAACCCAAGAAACGGCTTNTTATTTTTTTAACTCCAAAAATGGAATAGTATAATATTTAATTATATTTCAGCGTAAAATGCATCTGTAAATGACAGAGTGAGCCCGAAAATGAGAGGACTTCAAAAGATAGGCTGGCACGTGATTAAACTTGATCCGGCATGGAACCATGGCTTCTGCAATGCATGTTTCACTGGTTCATCGACGCAGATAGGTTTCAATATGTGATTACTTTCTAAGGATAGGCTCGCACAGCAGTCAGCAGACAGGTAATTCCAGCATTCCATATCATCGATATGCAGCCCTTCAAAAAGCCGAGTTCAGGGTCACATGTTACTCTCCCCAAATTGAAGATTAAGCAACTCGCTCACGCATTGCTCCCAACAGATGATGCATCCTGGATAATCATCTGTTCTTGAAATTGTGCACGTTTGGCAGCCCTCAGGTCGAGTATACTGTGTGGCCTGGGTTGTATGCAGCCATGCAACTCAACGAGATGAAAGAACTCTTGTTTCGTCAAACTTTTCTTCTCGACAAGCTCATCTACCACAGCATCCATAAGTTTATGGTTTCGTTGCAGGATCTGATATGAAAACACTGTTTATACAGAAGCAGATAGTAAAAGTTGTAAAAATATGCTACTCTTGATATATAAAAATTTACCTCTTTTGCACGCTCATAACTCGAGTTCACAATCTGCAATGCCTCAGAATCAATTTCCTGAAGATTAAAAAACAAATCAAAATAAGCATCAGGATTTAGATCTATAGTCCCACAACATTATGGATACACAGAACAAACATACTTAATGAAAAGGCCACAATTTTTGGCCATGAACAATTTCAAAAATTAATCAACTGCAAATGATGCCAAAACAAAGCTTAGAAACCTCAAATAGAAAGGTAAGAAGAGTGATTCCATACATTAATTCGATCTGCTACCCAGAAGTTGGATAATCCATAATGCTTATCAGACAGGCCACCAAGAACAAAGGCTCGTGCTGCTGATCTAGCATTATCAGCTGCCTCCGCCCATATTGTACTCAGCTGGAATAATTCGATGAAGGAATGGAATTTCAAGTATCAAATTAGATAAATAAATCCAGAAAGCACAATGATATTAAACAAAACTAGGTCTTATAAAAACCATAGAAAGCCCTTCTTATGACCTCATAACCTAGATAGAGAATGTAATAGAAGCGTCACAAAGTATCACAGAAGAATATGTCAACTAGCACATTCCTTGAGGAAAAAAGTATTAAGTGAAGTTTTTCTTACCTGACCTTCACCATTCCAAAGCTCATCAGCAGCACGTGGAGCTAGTTGAACAGTGATATAATCCAGCAGGGATTGCCGACTGCATACCAAGAAACGGCTTGGTTAAAAAGGAAGAGATAACAGTCACATGGTTTAATACGCCATTACAATAAGCAACTAATCCTCCATAGAAACTGAATTACGAAGGACAAACACAACTAGTGAGAGGTTCACTATTTTGGAATTCTTAATAGTCCTTAATGCCACAAAAATGTGAAGAAACAAAGAGTTTAAGCAAGACATGCCTTAGCAATCCTTCCTTGAATCTCATATGGTCCATTTTCAACCGAACGTAACCCAACTCCCTACCAGCTCTAGGAGCAATTGTTGCCTGCTCAAAAGCAATAAGGCATAACTGTTTTTTGTACCTTTAACGTAGAAACTAAAACATATATTTGGATGCAGAACAATGAAATTATAAAATACAATACTTCCAGATACATAAGAGCAATGAGAGAAATATTAGAAGAAACTCAATCTCAAAGATGATAAAGGCACATAAGAAAAAGTGGATGGCTCAGGAAAAAGCACTATTTTTGTGTCCTTTGTTTCTAGTAAATTTCATAAATTCGTAAAGAAAGAAAGGAACTGATCTTCAAGCCACAGAATGCCACAAAGTATGAAGCACAACAATGCTTTTTTACAGCTATTATTGTACTGAAATTTTAGAGAAATGACAATTCGGTAGGTGTCTACTAAAACTGACATGACAATTAAATAGGTGTCTACCAAAACTGACATGACAATTCAAGGCAATATTACAATAAAATAATCTTCATAACAATGACCCAAAGGTCAGCGAAGATCAGGCATTTAAATATGACAGAATTTCTAGGAAAAATTAGTTCCTTTCTTGTTAGTTTTCCGTTATGTGACAACGTGATCATCATCACCCTTAAGTACAAAATAACATGGAACCAAAGGTAGTAGTTCAACTAACTATGATCTTCATACAGTTTTAAAACTAGCCAACTGACAGAAGTCAGATCCATTCGTCTTATAAGCATAAACTTGTACTTTCAAAGGTCTAATGTTTTAACAGATACCTCTTAGCATAAACTTACCATGGTCATTGAAAAAGATTGGCAATACCACAAATTAACTGCATGCAAAAAACACGTAAAAAGAATGAAGCGCAAAGAACATACAAACTCAATATTTTTAAGGTCAGGAAAGTTCACAGCTACAACAGCCATTGCTGCTTCATTTATAGCTACTTGTCTCCATGTCTCAAGGCTCCTCTCCTTTCTGTCTAGCATTCCCCTCTCTTCTATTTGCGCAGCTTGTAGTAAGTCATCAGTTGTAATCTACAAAAGTAAAAACACATTCTTTACTATTGCCTTGGACTGCACAAAGGCAATTATCAGAACTGCAGGTAAAGCATCTCCATAAAGAATTAACTCAACGTATCAAAAGCCAACAAACCATGAGCATTGGACTGGAACTTGTTTAAATGTTAATATCAAGGAATATGATATGCATCCTGGATTTTGTCATACTGAAGAAAGAACAAAAAGCTATAATATTCACAAAAGTAGCCAATACCTCAGTTCTTCCATCACGCATCATGTTAATAGCAGCAACTTCAATTATATTTGCTAGCTCTGCACCAACCATTCCATCAGTCATACTAGCAACAGCCAGGTAGTCTACATCCTCTGCCATTGGCTTCTTTCGAGCATGGACCTATAGCCACGAACTAGGAAAAAGAATCAGTAGTCATAATTGAAAGGGTTAAAAATGCCAGCTGCATAATGATTTTGTTATCGCAATGTCATCTAAGATGCCAAAAATAAGTATATGCATCGTTAATAATTACCTTCAGAATTTCCATGCGGCCAATAAGACCAGGTTTAGGAATGTAAATTTTACGGTCAAATCGTCCAGGCCTCACAAGGGCTGGATCTAGAATGTCTGGTCTATTTGTGGAAGCGATAGTAATCACATTCCCTCTTCCTTCAAACCCATCCAAGCAGACAAGAAGCTGTAATGCATCAACAACATTGAGTAGTAATTTACAGACAGAGGCTCTAACACCAATTGAATACAGACAATTTACATTACTTGAAAGAAACTATTGTTGCAACCTACCTGATTAAGAGTAGCATCACGTTCTTGTCCACCAGAACCCTTAATTAAACCACGTTCCCTTCCAACAGCATCCAATTCATCAATAAATACAACAGACGGGGCCTACATGGACCAACATCAACCAACAACTTATTATAATTTGGGGTATGATGTTAAAACCTCCAAAAGTTAATGAATTATATAACAAATAATGAAGAAGAAAACCAAATGATGTATGAGAATGGCAGAAGGTTTTCTAAGAAAATAAGATGCATTTGATACTTTGTGAGGCAACACTTACATTGTCCCGTGCCTCCTGGTAAAGTGATCGGACACGAGATGCACCAACTCCAACATATATTTCAACAAACTGAGATGCAGAAATAGAGAAGAAATTCACGCCTGCCTCACCAGCCACAGCTTTTGCTAGTAATGTCTTCCCCACCCCAGGAGGGCCACATAGAAGTATGCCACCTGATTGAGAATTTCAGATGAAGAAAGTGTTTGAGCTTGGCAAGAACTTGAACCCAAGTCTATAAGAAACTGCAACATGCTCTATCAGTTAATCTAATCCATAGAGGTTTCGTTGTCAACCTGTGACAACTTACAAGCTTTGTATAAAAGAGGCACATGGTTGACAAGAAGAGGCTAGATGCACGTCATTGATCCCAAAACCAAAGAAATCTCAATTACAATGAGATTACTGGTTGAGCATCCAACTGATTTATAGAGAACACAAGAATACTGTTCCCAGAAAATATGCTAGTCTCTTAAATTGAATGTGTCATCTTAAATAACATGATACTTTGTTCAAGATTCTTTTATGTTTCTTTTGATAAATGTCCCATGGTAGTTGAAGATATTCCACTAAGACATTATTAAGCACAAATAACTGTTTATTTGTGCCCCTATGCTAACAAGCACCTTCAAGCATCAATAAGCAACAGTAATACAGAACCCGTATAGAAAAGGGTAAGGAGCTTGATATTGGACTCAGAAGATATCTCTTCCAATAAGTCTCATAAATTCAATCATGTAACTGCTGCTCGTTAACAAACAAAAAAACACAATGATTCAAACAATTGAAAACCTATTATTCAGATTTCCCAAAAATAAAAAGTTTTCAAAATAAGAAGCTCCTTATTCAGGCCTCAACACCAATTAAGCAAATATGAAATGAAATAACCTAATAACAGAAGTCAAACAGCAAAATTATTAGGGTTTCAGAGAATGCGACCTGGTATTCTCACTCCTCTCCTCCTGTACATCTCCCCATGAGTGAAAAACTTGACAATTTCTTCAAGCTCAAGACGTATCTTCCCAAGCCCAGCAACATCTGAAAATTTCACGTCCACACCTCTCTCCAAATACTGTGGCAGCCCTCTACCATGTGCACGCCGTACACGTGCACCTGACTTCATGAACTGCATAGCCATTTTTAAATATGGATTCTGCTCTCCTTTCCCTAGCTCAGTCTCATCCTCATCAACGGCCTCAAGACCCTCCATCTCCCTCTCCAACTCCCTCATCTTCCTTCTCTCCTCTGCCTCTGCCTTCTCAATCTTCAACCTGTCCTCGTAATCCTTCTTCTGCTTCCTGTAGCTAAGCACAACTGTCCTATAAAATATCACAAAAAACACCACTCCCAAAAGTGTTGCCACGTTTGAATCTTGTGCCATAGCATCCCACATATCTGCCATATACTCATAATTCGTCCTTCTATTTTCCAGTGACTCCTCATACTTTTTCTTTCTAATCTCCATTCTCTTTTGCCTCTCCTCCTCTTTCTTTTGGACCTTCATCATCTTCTCAATCATTTCCCTTTCTTCCCTCATCCTCTTCAATTCTTCTTTCTTTTGCCTCTTAAACTCTTCTCTCGCTCTCCTAATCTCCGCCGCCCTTTTTGACTCTTTCTTAGGTTTAAACATTTCCAACATAGACTCAGGCACTTTCCACAAAAACCCTAAATACGGATGAGGCACCTCCGGTTTCTTAATCGGAGGTGTATATGCATTAACACATAAATTATCAATCTTCAACTTATCCCAAGATTCCCAAAACCTCCTATTACTATCAATCGATGGTAAAACAGTCCTTAACACTCTAGAATCCTCCAAAACTACCAAAATAGGTTCTGCTTTTTGTCTTAAACCAACACCAGACGATTTAATCACATGTTTAAGCTTACCCTCTTGTTTCAAATTCAATATCTCAGTATATGCAATCCTATTTGACACAATAGGCAAATCTTTTGCCCAATTTCTTAGCTGTTCTGGAGTCAATGCCTCTTGTGTCTTTTGTGTCTTTTGTGTCTTTTTCTGGGTTTTCTTCTTTCTGTCTGAAGTCACAGTTGGTGCAGCATAACAAGGCTTTTGTGCAAGTGAAGTGGAGATAACAATCAAAGTTACAGGTATTGTTAAAAGACTCAAATGGGTTTTATTAGCTTTCTGGTTTTCATCTTCATTCTCCAGGCCAACGGTTTGGTTTTTACATGAAAATGAGGGGAAATTTTGAAAATTTCGTAGGTTCCTAGGGTTTTTGTTTTTGGGTTTTGTGGAAACAAAATCAAGTGATAGTGAAGAACCAAAAGAGAAGTTACAAGCCATGTAAATGTAAATACTTCAACTTAACAAAAAATGTGTAAAAAAATTATGAATTTTGATAATATGTGGAAAGGCCTTGAAGCTAGAGTAAAGACTTACATGGTGAAATGAGAATGTGAGGGTGAACTTGAGAGGGAATTGAGCTTTGGTTGAATCGACATTGAAGTAGAAAGAGAGCTTCGCCGCTGTGTCAAAACTCAAAAAGCTTGTAGATAGCCGAAGGAGAGCCCAGTGAATACACCCAAACGACACCGTTCAGGTTACGATTTGTTATAATGGATTAGGCCCATTCAGGTGTCAAATTAGGCCCATCTGCTTGCTTCATCTTAATAGTAATTGTATTTTTAGGAAGCATTGCATAATGGTCTGAAAAATTATTTTAGACTAAGAACAAGACATTAAATTTTGTATTCTTAAAATTCCAAATCCTTCTAATAGTATTTTTTGAAAATGATTTTTAAGAAATGAACTAGTAGAATCATGTATGTTTTTCCACTTTACATGACAATTTTTTTTAGATTTTCCATCTCTCTTGAAATAAAATGATTAAGGTACTTAATATTTGGCATTCGAGTAGGCATAGTCATTATCTTTGTGAGTAAACGACTTTTTTCCCACCAAGGTTTTCCTTAATGACACTTTTCTATCTAAAATTTATATTCCGTAAATACCAAAATAAACTTCACTTCCTCCGCTAGCGTTCGACGAGTTACCAAAAGCCAAGGTATGAGGGGTTTTATAGAGTGGAGATCGGTGGATTGAATGGTGGTGACCGATTGAATATTTGTAGTCAGAATCACCTAAAAATCAGCTAAGAATATGAAACCCTAGCTTTGCACTGGTCGGCAATCGGTAAAAAATCAGACGTCGGAGTGAGAGAGTTTTTATAGAGAGGAGACCAAAGGTTCAAATAGTATTGACAGAGAGAATTTTTGCCGCCGAAATTGGCGTTTTGGATAGTAATAGAATATTAACTTTGGATGGGAAAGTGACACTTTGAAATTTTTTGAGTGGAAAAGTGTCATTAAGGCAAACCTTGGGTGGGAAAAGGTCGTTTTACTCTATCTTTGCCCTATCTAAAGTGTAGGATCCATTTGATAATTGGTATCAGGGTGGGAAAAAGCCGTTTACTCAATAGGACGAGTGTTATGACCTTACAAGAACACAAGATTCATATAACTAAGTAGACGTGTTTTGGATATGACAACCTCACAAGGACACGAGGTCGATATAACTTAGAAGTGAAATCTTGCTATATAAAAAAGGCAAATTATATTAACTTAAGAAGTTTGATAAGTATGGTCACAAAATGAACCACAGGAAGCATTACTATAGCAAAATACAGAACCCATCTTACTCTTTACAAAGGCCAATCCTGTGTTCTACAACATTCCATAGGAGAAACTAGGCACATCACATAGATTTTTTAAGCTTCTACATATCCATTAATTCTACATATAAATAAGTATATGATAATAAAAGGTTAGGGAAATTCAAGACTTGGTGTTGGTGAGCCAAATCACATCCTGAATAACTGATGCAGCAAGCAAGAGGCTGCTGAAGAAGGTGAAGGCTATTGAAACTGCAATGTGGTCACAGAATCTGTATAAAGCTTTGCAGAAATTCGGAAGAGGAGTATGTTTAATTCCTGTGCGGTTCAAATTTGTGACTGAAGCTGCAGCTGACCCTGCACTTAACATCGCATATGCAAAAACCTGGAAAAGGAGGATTCATCAGGCCCTCGTAAATCACTAGTTTCAGCATTAAAATTTCTGTTTTCAAAGAAGCTAATATATCACATCCAGGGAGGACCCAGAAATTATATTGAGGGTAAGGTAAGTAATATATAATTTTAGAAAATTAAGTGAGTTGGATTGTATTTGTTTAATATAATCTATTGAAAAAAGAAATAGGAATCAAATCTAGAAACATTAATGAATTTTTTAGTGGGGTCACAGCGTCGCCCTGAAGTCAGTCCCGAACATACCTGATCGAGAGCAAATATAAGCCAGGCATGGCTTCTTGAGGGAACCGCTGGAACTTTCCTGAGCAGCCTTGTTCCACTGATAAGCAATTGCAGCAAAGATAAGTGCTGCAGCCACAGAAACTCCAAACAGGTACCTGTCAGTACCAAACCATTTCAAAACGGTCGTTAAATTCTAAACCCTGAACTCTAAACTTTTTGACCGATATCTCGGATTATACCTCAAAGCTACATAAATTGGGCAAATCAAGTTTCAACCAACCACTGGGTAAAAAACTAGTGACAACTTCACTCTTAATCCTTAAAGACTGTTTTTGAAACATTCTATCATAACATTGTCAAATCTTGAAAGTAAACTTTTTTTTTTTTTTTTTTTTTTTTTTCACTTACAAAGAAAAAGAAAGACTGTTTGTGATAGAAAGACTGTTTGTGATAGAATGTTTCAAAAACAGTTCACTAAATAGAACCGACTAGTGATTGGTTCCACTAAGTTTTCATCAGGTAGTTGGAACCCCGAGTAAGCTCTACCGGGTTTAGTCAGACCTATTTTCAAACTTCAAATAGATAGGAGGAAGAATTTTACCAATGGGGTTATGGAAATACATGTCTAACAAAACATGGAACTGATATCAACCATTGGATTTTTCCTGTGAACCAAAGCTAGTATACCCATATTAATCATCTGGGACACAACTACCTCTTCGGCAGTTCCTTTGAAACTCTTGAGTGGATTGCTTAAGAGATCCTGAGTTCGAAACTTTGGGTATATGATAGACCTCCCCTTAAACATGTTTACCAATACAAGGGGCATAAGGGACAATCGGAATGTGAGGGCTTTGCTGTTGGTTGTTAGGGGAATTAGTTACAATCACGTGTGAGTAGGGAATCAAGTTGTTATTTGTGTGAGGGGGAATCAGGTTGTTAGCATAGAGAATGGGTAGTCTGGAAGTTAGTATAAATAAAGGAAGTCAGTGTTGGTGAAGGGGGAGATAAAATAGAGTCATTGTGGGAGGTCCCCAGCTCCTCGAATTGCTGGGATCTATCTGTTGAGTTTATCAATTGTTTTGGTTGTTCTTTGCTTTTCTCTATTAATATACTTGGTGAGGCTTGTTTGTGGTGAACATATCTGCTATTTGTACTGTTTGGCTATTGTTTGTTATCAGTGCAGGGAGTCTCATCAATGGTATCAGAGCCAAGGTTGGGGAACGGTAAAAGCGGAAATGGAGACTAGGATGGGAAATGTGGAAAAAGATATGAGATCGATGAAGGAAGATTTGAGAACGATCAAAGAATGCTTGAAGGAGATGCTAGCATGGATGAGGCAAAAGGAGGAGGAGGAAACCAAAGGAGTTAAGAGGGATGGGTCAACGGAAAGAGCGGTGAAACAGAATCGAAACCAAGGGGAAGAGAACAGTGAACCCAATGCAAACCAGAATGGCAAACCCATAGTTACTGAACGAAATCGACCAGAGTCAGATGGCGGAGAATTGAATAACGATATTCATAGGGAAGAATCTGTACGATTGGTTATTCAGGATAAAAAGGTATTTTAAGGTGTATCAAGTGGCTGAAAACGAGAGGTTGGCCACGGTGGCCGTTTGCATGGAGGGCGACGCGATCAATTGGTTCCAGTGGATGGAGGTGCGAGCTCCTATGACGACATGGGCCGCCTTTAAACTTGCCTTGCTTTGTTGGTTCAGGGCTCACAGAAGAAGGGTTTGTACAGATTGATGGGAATCCAACAAGCCGGTACAATGGAAGATATTGCCGGAAGTCTGAAGCTGTATCTGCTCCATTGTGTGAAGAAAAAGAAGACATATTGTGGGCCAACTTCTTAAACGGCTTAGACCAAATCTAAAAGCTGAAGTCAAATTGGGCCAGCCCAATTTATTAATTCAATTAATGGAGTTAACCCAGACAATAGAGGAGAACAATTGGGCTTTAGAAAAAATGAAGTTTGGGCTCAATAACACTGTAAAACCAGTTGGGCTGTATGGGTTTAATAGAGGAATATTTCAGTGGGGGGTAAACAGGGGATAACAAATACAATTGAATGTGGGCTTGAGCAATTTGATAATGGACTAGGCAAAGGTTTAAATGCAGGGTTTGGGCCGGTAGAGAAATTGGGTCAATGGAAAATGGGTCAAGGGTCCAATCAAATTTAAATCAGACTGCAAATAACCCCAGGCTATTTCCCTTCATCAATCAGCCGAGATATTCTGGCAATTCCTCGCCAGCGCGTCAAACTTGGGAAGAGGCACCATTTGGTGTGCGACAGCCTCTAGTTATCAAAGCCTGAGTACCACACCAAATCCACCGGTCAATCACAACTTCTATCCACGGCGAACAGCTCCTTTCCAGCGAATGACAGAAGATAAGGAAGAAGACGGCGATAAAGGAGTGAGGAGCGGTGTGGTGTCGGGTGAAAATTTTCCATCTCTCCACCTTGAGGACAAGGTGGTTCTTCAAGGGGAGGGTATTGATAGACCTCCCATTAAACATGTTTACCAATACAAGGGGCATAAGGGACAATGGGAATGTGAGGGCTTTGCTGTTGGTTGTTAGGGGAATTAGTACAATCACGTGTGAGTAGGGAATCAAGTTGTTATTGTGTGAGGGGGAATCAGGTTGTTAGATAGAGAATGGTAGTCTGGAAGTTAGTAAATAAAGGAAGTCAGTGTTGGTGAAGGGGGAGATAAAAAAGAGTCATTGTGGGAGGTCCCCAGCTCCTCGATGCTGGGATCTATCTGTTGAGTTTATCAATTGTTTTGGTTGTTCTTTTGCTTTTCTCTATTAATATACTTGGTTGAGGCTTGTTTGTGGTGAACATATTCTGCTATCTTGTACTGTTTGGCTATTGTTGTTACAGTGCAGGGAGTCTCATCAATGGTATCAGAGCCAAGGTTGGGGAACGGTAAAAGCGGAAATGGAGACTAGGATGGGAAATGTGGAAAAAGATATGAGATCGATGAAGGAAGATTTGAGAACGATAAAGAAGTTGGGAGATGCTAGCATGGATGAGGCAAAAGGAGGAGGAGGAAACCAAAGGAGTTAAGAGGGATGGGTCAACGGAAAGAGGCGTGTGAAACAGAATCGAAACAAGGGGAAGAGAAAAGTGAACCCAATGCAAACCAGAATGGCAAACCCATAGTTACTGAACGAAATCGACCAGAGTCAGATGGCCGGAGAATTGAAATACCGATATTCATAGGGAAGAATCTGTACGATTGGTTATTCAGGATAAAAAGGTATTTTAAGGTGTATCAAGTGGCTGAAAACGAGAGGTTGGCACGGTGGCCGTTGCATGGAGGGCGACGCGATCATTGGTCCAGTGGATGGAGGTGCGAGCTCCTATGACGACATGGGCCGCCTTTAACTTGTTGCTTTGTTGGTTCAGTGGCTCACAGGAAGAAGGGTTGTACAGATCCTGATGGGAATCCAACAAGCCGGTACAATGGAAGAATATTGCCGGAAGTCTGAAGCTGTATCTGCCCATTGTGTGAAGAAAAAGAAGACATATTGTGGGCCACTTCTTAAACGGGCTTAGACCAAATCTAAAAGCTGAAGTCAAATTGGGCCAGCCCAATTATTAATTCAATTAATGGAGTTAACCCAGACAATAGAGGAGAACAATTGGCTTTAGAAAAAATGAAGTTTGTCATAACACTGTAAAACCAGTTGGGCTGTATGGGTTTAATAGAGGAAATATTTCAGTGGGGCTGGGTAAAAAGGGGATAACAAATACAATTGAATGTGGGCTTGAGCAATTTGATAATGGACTAGCAAAGGTTTAAATGCAGCTGGGTTTGGGCCGGGTAGAGAAATTGGGTCAATGGAAAATGGGTCAAGGGTCCAATCAAATTAAATCAGACTGCAAATAACCCCAGGCTATTTCCCTTCATCAATCAGCCGAGATATTCTGGCAATTCCTCGCCAGGCGTCAAACTTGGGAAGAGGCACATTTGGTGTCGCGACAGCCTCTAGTTATCAAAGCTGAGTACCACACCAAATCCACGGTCAATCACAACTTCTATCCACGGCGAACAGCTCCTTTCCAGCGAATGACAGAAGATAAGGAAGAAGACGGCGATAAAGGAGTGGAGGGCGGTGTGGTGTCGGGTGAAAATTTTCCATCTCTCCACCTTGAGGACAAGGTGGTTCTTCAAGGGGGGGAGTATTGATAGACCTCCCATTAAACATGTTTACCAATACAAGGGGCATAAGGGACAATCGGGAATGTGAGGGCTTTGCTGTTGGTTGTTAGGGGAATTAGTTACAATCACGTGTGAGTAGGGAATCAAGTGTTTATTTGTGTGAGGGGGAATCAGGTTGTTAGCATAGAGAATGGGTAGTCGGAAGTAGTATAAATAAAGGAAGTCAGTGGTTGGTGAAGGGGGAGATAAAAATAGAGTCATTGTGGGAGGTCCCCAGCTCCTCGAATTGCGGGATCTATCTGTTGAGTTTCAATTGTTTTGGTTGTTCTTTGCTTTTCTCTATTAATATACTTGGTTGAGGCTTGTTTGGTGTGAACATATTTGCTATCTTGTACTGTTTGGCTATGTTTGTTATCAGGCAGGGAGTCATCAGTATATTACTCAAGAAGCCCTGATTTTTACCAATAGGGTTATGGATATACATGTCTCACAAGGACATTGAACGTATCAACCATTAGACTTTTCTTCTGCAGCCAAAAGCTAGTATAGCCATAATAATCATTGAGGACTACTAAATTTAGGTAGTTTAACGGTTCGCTTGAAACTCTTCGATGTATACTCAAAATGTTTTGATTCGAATTCCCACAACTATTATAAGGACAACCACTAAAGATTAACTTAGTTGTTAACTTTAGAGTCCCGAAAGACTATTGACCCGGATACTTCGATTAAAAAAAAAAAAAAAAAAACATTTGGGGACACAATTTTCACAATCTTATGATACAAAGACACAAAGGGTAAACAAATAAACCCAAAAAAAATAATAATAATAATAATTATCACTCACGGGTGATCTGTTCATCATATGCCAGAAAACTGCAGAACAGGTACGCAAATTAGAGTTTGTTTTTACTCAAGGACGACCGAAACCAAGAGGAAAATTCAACAAGACAAATTAAAGTTTCATTAAAGCAGAGTAATATGACTCACAACGTGACAAATAAACCTGACAAATCGCCCCTTTCCGGGCAATTGAGGCAGAACCCAGAGGAGGAATGCACTGTTTAATTAATTTTTTAATTAATATAATAAATGAAGAAATGAATTTCATGGAAAAGAATTGTTAGGTGACCTGTTTGGTCGGCAAGAAAGACAAAGAGACTTAAACAGATATAATAAAATTATTCTCTGTTATTTACTTTTCTAGGCAACCAAACAGAGTCATAAACTGAAAAGCAAGTAATTGCTTTCCTTCACTTTCTCAGTAGCCAAACAGGAAAATACAAAACCAACCCACCAAGCTAAACAACATCAACATGAACAAAAAGAACTTTCTGTTCCTTCACATTCTTATCAACCAAACAAACAAAAACAATCAAAATCATTTCTCAAAAAAGCACTCGAAGAACAAAAAATAAACAAGAAAAGCACTTACTCAAAAGCATAAGAATGAGACCACTTGGAAGAAACATCAAGCTGGAACCCATAAATTGAAACCGCACTATTTTGACCAGCAGTAACCATGAAGGAAAACGCCACCACAGAAGCCACCAAGCACACAAACCTCAACAACATTTGCACCACCACCTCATTTCTCCGCCGGTTGATTATCACCTCCTTTCCTGCCGCGCCATTCATTGCCTCAACACTCTGATCAGCTTTGTGGCCGTTCATCATCATCAACAACTCACATAAAACACTTCTATAAGTAGCTAGTTTTGAAAGTGTGTTGCTTTATGAATGTGTTTTGAGGGTTGTGTACAAGGGTTTTAATGGGAGGCTTTTACAGTATGGAGAGTTAGATTTTCGCATTAAATTTAATGTACGTAATGCATTAAAATAGGAAGAGATCAGTGCACAAGTACAACAGTTTTGTGCAAAGCCATATTGAAAGGCCATGTGTCACACACAAATTAAAAATATTCATTCCAAAGAGGGAAATAGGCCAGTATATATATATATATATACACTGAACTATTGAAGATTGGTTATTTGGTGAATTTGGTGTTGACTTGTGTTTTTAAATTGATGTATGTGACATATGAATTATAATGTTTTTTAAGGATAGGTTATTCGTCATAGCAATTTAAAAATAAGTAGAGATGTGAAATAAGTGGGATTAAGATTACAGAGTCAATTACAATGGCTCAAAACTCAAAATTTTGGCCGATATGAAACCAAAGAAGAATCAATTTTATACGTGACTGCCCACATGATGAAGGGCTCTGGCTCATAATTAGTAGGACCAGGAGCATAGTACCTAATTTGTTTGACCAACTTACATGGAATTTCATATTTGGAATTGACGACTGACTAAATCTCTTCGATAGTCACCCTTATTAATGTCTGTGGGAATTCAAACCCAGAAATCCATGGTAGACCAATTTATTCTTTTACCATCTGGTTTTCCGTGGTGTTTTCAATGCAGTTACCCACCTCTTGAAATACCATTTGTTTGAAAGCTCTAGCTATCCAAAAAATTAAACATCACATTGAATAATGTATTATGTGTCAATCATATTATCGAATCGATGCCATAAAATGACCCTTATAATTTCTAAAGATTGAATTAATAGGGTCAGAGAGTTGAACAAGGATTTGAATATTTGAGTAATAACAGAGGCAAGCTCCCATTAGATAGTGAGTGAGGGGTAGTTGAGTCTTGAGTGCTGAGGATAATGGTAATTTATTATGAGAAAAATGACTCATAGGTGCAAACTGCAAAGAGTTTAATTTTCATGGCCTGTCATATCATCAATTTGGTGGGAGAAGGGTGCAACTACTACTCTGTAAATCATGTTAAATGTATCAAGTACATTAATTTAGGGGAATTTATTGTATGAGACCACATCTTTGATTTCTTGTTGAACCTAAATCTCAAGTATCTAACCCTAGGACAGCATATTTGATGAGAGGATGAATGTCTTGATAAAGACTTAAATCATCCAAACTTATAATATCCGAGGCCAACATTACCCCGCTCGAGGGTTTCCCATCTTTATGAATCAAATGATCTTTGGAAAACAGAAAATAATGCGTTTCATTACGTAGGAACGTATGAGAGAATTCAAACCCTGAGAAAGTAGGAATGAAGGGGGGAGAGAATATATCAAAATTGCTTAGCTAAGGCATTAAACTGATGATCCTGACGGTGTCACAGCTGCACAGCATAGAAAATTCTGGGTTAAAAGCCAATAGGTAGTTACTGAAACAATTGCAGGCACTATGTAAGATAGGGTATAACTGGACAATTTGTGTGATTTAATTACTCATATCACAACCAATATGGCAGGTATCACATGTAGCATTTAAGTCTATGTCAAGAAGACAAACTTTTGTTTCAATTGGAAGCCAGTGAACTGTAGAATTCCTTGAATTGGGAGAAAATTATACCTATAGTCTGGGCCAACACAGCTGGGATTGTTTCTATTGGCAATCTCTACTGCCTTTTAGCTGAGCACAAGTCTTTTGAGGTAATCATAATTAGTAAAGAGTGGTGAATTTTGGCCTTTATATTATTCAAGCTGATTCTAGTATTAGAAGCTTGCCATTTATGTAAAATGTATGTTTTTGTTAGAATGTATTTTTTTTTAAAAAGAAAATAGTTACCATTAATTCTAATTCAACAATAAAACCTGTGAGGCAGTATCAGAGTGATGATTAAGACAAAAAAGAGTAGAGCCTGGAACAATCTGAAGACTCTAAAATGTACAAGAAGAAGTGAAATGGACGAGAATTATTGCCATTGAATGCATTCAAGCTCTGCATTAGGCCAAGAAAAAGGGAAAGCATATTAGCCACTCATTCATTACACAAATTGCGTGTTTCCCAGGTCAAGATACAGGTCCTCACTTCACAATAAAGGAGAAATCACATAATTAAATTTCAATCAGATATTTGTACGTAGTAATGTTGGATACGAATAAAACAATCTAAGAGCAAAGAAAAGGATATTTGCTATTAAANCCAGTCATATCATCAATTTGGTGGGAGAAGGGTGCAACTACTACTCTGTAAATCATGTTAAATGTATCAAGTACATTAATTTAGGGGAATTTATTGTATGAGACCACATCTTTGATTTCTTGTTGAACCTAAATCTCAAGTATCTAACCCTAGGACAGCATATTTGATGAGAGGATGAATGTGTTGATAAAGACTTAAATCATCCAAACTTATAATATCCAAGGCCAACAGTACCCCGCTCGAGGGTTTCCCATCTTTATGAATCAAACGACCTTTGGAAAACAGAAAATAATGCGTTTCATTACATAGGAACGTATGAGAGGATTCAAACCCTGAGAAAGTAGGAATGAAGGGGGGAGAGAATATATCAAAATTGCTTAGCTAAGGCATTAAACTGATGATCCTGACGGTGTCACAGCTGCACAGCATAGAAAATTCTGGGTTAAAAGCCAATAGGTAGTTACTGAAACAATTGCAGGCACTATGTAAGATAGGGTATAACTGGACAATTTGTGTGATTTAATTACTCATATCACAACCAATATGGCAGGTATCACATGTAGCATTTAAGTCTATGTCAAGAAGACAAACTTTTGTTTCAATTGGAAGCCAGTGAACTGTAGAATTCCTTGAATTGGGAGAAAATTATACCTATAGTCTGGGCCAACACAGCTGGGATTGTTTCTATTGGCAATCTCTACTGCCTTTTAGCTGAGCACAAGTCTTTTGAGGTAATCATAATTAGTAAAGAGTGGTGAATTTTGGCCTTTATATTATTCAAGCTGATTCTAGTATTAGAAGCTTGCCATTTATGTAAAATGTATGTTTTTGTTAGAATGTATTTTTTTTTAAAAAGAAAATAGTTACCATTAATTCTAATTCAACAATAAAACCTGTGAGGCAGTATCAGGGTGATGATTAAGACAAAAAAGAGTAGAGCCTGGAACAATCTGAAGACTCTAAAATGTACAAGAAGAAGTGAAATGGACGAGAATTATTGCCATTGAATGCATTCAAGCTCTGCATTAGGCCAAGAAAAAGGGAAAGCATATTAGTCACTCATTCATTACACAAATTGCGTGTTTCCCAGGTCAAGATACAGGTCCTCACTTCACAATAAAGGAGAAATCACATAATTAAATTTCAATCAGATATTTGTACGTAGTAATGTTGGATACGAATAAAACAATCTAAGAGCAAAGAAAAGGATATTTGCTATTAAATGATAAACAGATCATGTATGCTCTTGTAGAAACAATGCGGGCACATTCTATCATTTCTCTCAACCTCAAGATAATGTTTATGACAAGAAGAATTGTGGCACTTCCCCCACAAAGGAAAAATATTGATTCAAGCATCAAGCTCAAAAGAAGATTTACTGAAACTCAATTATATATTTGAATTGCCGAAGGAATATTTGACAATTTGATCATGATAAGATATGATGAATCTCCAAGGTGACTGCAATAGCAAACTTAAAGGCCAAACATCAAATCCATGACTTTAGATACCACTGACTTTGATGGGGAAGCAATGGCACCTCCTGACTGTCGAGTATTTGTACTTCCATTTTGGAGATAATAGGGGCGAGGAGAGGATCTTGCAGCGTTCAGCTCTGAAGTTCTGCTTGATGGAGGTGGCAAAGTCATAAACCCTTGATTGTTAAGCCTTTCATTTAAAGCCTGGCGTTGCATGGCATCCAATGGTTTGACACCAACAATTAATACTCCATTGATTTGCATCCCATTCTTGTTGAGAGCCTTCTGCGCATCAGAACGATTCTGCACCAGCCAAAAGATAGAGCAATCATTTACAGTGAAGAATTTAACAATAAATATTGCCACAAGACTTGCAATCAAGTGCCCCCAATACTTTGGCTGAAAATAAGAGCATGACCTTCATTGCAAAACTCATTGAATGAATGAGACAAGAATAAACCCAATTTGCCCAAATCCCAAAATGGCATGTCACACTAACCTAAACAATTTAATCATGTATTATAGTTTTCCTTTAAAAAAATAAACTAAGAAGGAAGAAGAAAGAAGAAAGAAGAAAGCAAAAATATTTCCTTGATTCCAACATCGGATAAATTTGAAAGCACGCTAAAATAACATTTATTGCATTATCAAACAGAATAAGATGACCTATTGAGCCCAAGGGTGCTAATGCAAACACAACCCATTCATAAAACGCTACGAAATGAAAACCAAACTCCATCAATAACTGGAATGGCTCTCAAATCCCGATTAACCCATTTAGATAACCAGGCCAGGAAGCAATCTGGTCAAACTCTCTGGGCCAAGTGCAAGTTAGCAAAATACTAGCACATTTTGGGGTATTTCTAGTATGAATGGAAATAGACAAATAAGAACAAATCTCTAAACACTTGTAATATAAAAGGAGTTATTCCACATTTGGCATACATTTCTCCTTGTAAGCAAGACTACAAAGCAATAACATGGATGAAATGACATCGATGCCATTAACCTGTATTGAATCATGAAAATTGTTCAGAGATCATCAATGCTCAAGTTCACAAAAAAGAAAAAGAACCTGATAGAGAATATGCATCCAGTTAGCTTCTCTTGGACCTGGAACATGTTTCAAGATCACACCACACTTTTCAAACTCCCGCAAAACCAAATTGGTATCTGCTGGGGAAAATCTGGTAAGAAAGGTCCAGACAAGAGTTATAAGTATTACAAATTTGATAAACATTCAAGGTAATATTATAAAATAGTATTCAAGGTTCTAAGCTTTCCATAGACACTTAGCAGAAAGGAGAATATCAATCTAAACAGGCAAATGAATCACACCTATAGACGCCCATATTTGATTCTAAAATTAATTTAACAGTTTCAGTTGTTGAAAGTGGATTATGCACAAAATATGGATTCACATTCCTAATCAAGAAGGTCACACCTATAGACGCCCATATTTGATTCTAAAATTAATTTAACAGTTTCAGTTGTTGAAAGTGGATTATGCACAAAATATGGAGTTCACAATTCCTTATATCAAGAAGGGTTCATGAAATCATTACTGTAAGCACAAGAGGGGTATAAAAGCCCATAAGTATAAGAAATACTTTCACGTCAACTTAGGGAAGTCAGTCGTGCAATCAAGTTAGATAAACCAGTCAAAATTACACCAAATAAATGATATACAACAAAAAACTGAGTGTCATATGCAAACTGAAAAGGTGAGTTAAGAACATACCCATAAACAGTAACCCATTCTTCCTCGTTAAGGTTCCCAGTAGGCAAGCTATTCCTCTGCATCTCCGGCCTAGCAACTTCCCTTGGTGGAGGAAGTGTGATCAAAGCACCAGGCTGCACCACACCCTCAACTGGAGAACCCCTGGCCTTCTCCTCTTGTTCGCTACTACTAGACTTTGTTGGCAACCACCAACCCAAACCCGGTGAACCCTGCTGATTCTGCTGCCCACCTCCGACCGCAAAAGAAGTGCTTGTCTCTGATTTCCCCTTAGCTGGAATTGATGAAAAGTCCCGACCAGAACTTTGAGCAGGAGTTCTCAAGTCTGACTTTATTTCTGGCGATGTTGGGTAGTCAAGAATCCCTGACTCTGGAGAGAAATCAGAGCGGTCATCCAAGGTGTAAATGGGAGGGGGTGGAAGATCCGAACCCCCAAAATTCTCACGCCATAGTGCTGAAACTGCCGCAGCCTGACCTGGACTCGAAAATTTCCCTCTACGTGCAGAAATCGGTGATGCTAAATCTTGAAAAAACAACGATTGCCTCCCGGTTCCAGACTTGGGAGTTCTATGCACTGTACTGCTCATTTCAAGAAGCTGCTTCCACCACACAACAAAACACCTTCAACAAATCAAAAATTAAATGATCAACCCAAAATTCCCTTTAGCCAAGTATACGAGAAACTAAAATGAGAAGTTCACTCTAAACAATCTAAATATCCAAATTGTTATTTCTTCTTAATATTTTCTGGGTATCTTCAACAACAAAACGCAGCTCAAAAAGCACTAGCTTCTAGCTAAAATATTCAGAAAAAAAAAAAACAAAAAGCTCACATCACACATTAAAAAAATATAGCACAAACAAAATCAAACCCCAGAAAACAAACGAGTATAGGTTCGTTTAGCTCTTCGAGATTCCCTTACTCAAGTAAACAAAAAGAAACTTTTTTATTCAATTAATCAGTCACAAATCATAATATAAAAAATGAATGTAAGTACACAGAGAGGAAGTACCTGTAATTACTGGGTAGTTTTTCTTTTCTTTTATATTTCTTCTTTTGATTATCTGAAGAGCTGAGAGTGAATGCAGCTCTTCTACGTAGAAGGTTTCCGAAACCCTAAATTTACAGATCGAAATTTGAATTTGGTGCTCAGTGTTCGCTTACCGTTCTTGGGTTTTTTGGTGAAATGACTAAGATACCCTACCTTCGAAAGTTTTTGCGTGCGAGGGTATTTTTGTCGTTTTATTATTAATTGTATGGTTAATATATTTGATTTTTAACATATAATTGTATGGATCAATATTTTCAATAAATTTATTATCCATCCATGATTTCTTCTAATCTGAGTTTATGTTTTTAGCGGTCTCCGATCAAGCAAGAAAGTTCACATTTAGTAAAGGAAAAATCAAAGACAAGCACTTTTGAATGTATTTTTTACGAGGTTTTGAATTTGAGTTTCTCCTTAAATGCTACTAGGGGTAGTAACCACTGAAACTTTTATCCGATCGATAGTTTTAGAGTGCTAGAGAATTAGTTTAAATTCGCGTAAGCTGACTCGAACATCTCCAGTCATAAAAAAGTAAAAAAAAAAAAAAAAGTTCACATTTTAATCCAAAATAAAACTTGGGTTGCCCATGAAACCTCCTTCAATATTTATTTATTCTCCAAATCTTAGCTCCATTACAATGGTTAATTACATGAACCCATTTCATTCGGTACATATAGAGTGTAATTCATTGTTTCATATAATGCATAAAGCGTTTTTGAGTAAAAACTCTATTGGAATAAACACACAGAGTGTCTTTTGAAGAAAAAAAAAAACATTTATTTCTTCATAAAACACCTGAAAGTAGTTATTTGGTTTAGAAAAACAAAAAACGCTTTTGATTATGTGAAATTAATCGTAATGGGACTAAAAAAGACATTTCTAAAAAAAGAGTTTGTTTATAATAGATTTACATATAATCAACTAATTATAAGACGTCACGTCAACGCATGTGACATACACTCGTTTCATAATTAATTGGTTGTATATACAACTATATAACATACACTCTTCTCGTTATTAATAAATTATATTGTATGTACATCCATGGTACGAAAGATTAATCCCCGGATATACTTTAAAAGGGAGCCGACAAGGGCTCTTCAAGATTAATCTGATCAGGGGATTCTGCAATATTATTCAAAGAACATTGGCAAGGTCTTTCAATGACTTGAATCTTCTTATCATTAGCAATGTTAAATTGCTCTTCCTTCTGCAGTTTCTCCTCATTTTTCTCTTCTTCTTCAACACCTTCCTGGACCTGTAAACACAAAATGTGCAAAGTTTGATTAGAAAACAAAACCATGTAATCATAAAGAATCAAACTCCAAAACATAATGCCATGGAAAATGAACCTAACCTTGATGAATACACTTGAAGCTTCCTTTTCCTTCATCTTCTGAACTACATCTGCAGCCACCTCCTGCTCCAAAACAAGTTGATTAAAACTCAGAAATTACAGTAACAGTTCAAAAAGAGAGGAAAGCAAAAACACAGAGAGATTGAACTTACTCTAGCTTGATGGAGTTGGTCTTGACTCAAAGTTTTAGGCTCCGTTTCAATGGAGCAACAAATATTAGTAGCCATAACCAGAAAAAAACCCAGATAATTGTAGCCCATTAGCACCACCAAAAAATGTGAGATTTATCACATTTGGGCCAATTTATAGGCAACCCACATCAGACCTTTGCACTATGGTCACGGGTCTTTTAGACTTTGGGTTATGTTGAAAAGAAAATTTGGGGCTATAAACTGATAAGGCCAGCTCAAAATTTTGTCCCTCATTCCCATTCCGTGATTGGACAAAAAGCTAGGGTTAAATTACTCAACTTTTGCTTTGCGAAATTTCAATTGATTGGCCAATTTTGTTATCCTATTGTTGGTGATGAATTTTTGTGATATTATTGATTTTGATTGGTGATTTTTGCTTTCGGTTGAGCTGTAAAGTAGGTATCGGGTTGCCTTTACAATTAATTTCCATGAAATTTATGAAGATGGAAAAGGGGAAAATTTTGAGTTCAAGAAGTGTATTCATATTCGAAAAATTAACAACAAGAGTTATTAACTCTCACCTCCCTAAGGTGTCAGAAAGTATTATAAAACTCTTAATTAAGTACGAGAAATAATCATAACGTCCCCTCAGATTTGGAAAAATCATCACTTAGTTCGCTTTGACCATGAAATAAAATAATGAAAATCATGGTTGTTAGTATCCTATGATACCCGATACATATCATACGATACGATTTGAGACAGGTCGCCAACAATACGTATCAGGAGTGTATCCTAAACCATTCGATACTTGTGTATACCTACCAAGATACGTATCGTTCATATCCTTAAAAATATCGTATAAATCGATACGACTTTATTAATTGGGCCAAAGGTCCAAAAAAAAATATCGGGTCGAAACCGGGTCCCTAACTGATCACTAAAACTGTCCAATTTACCTATTTGCATGGAGAAATGAAGAGGAATATGTTATGCTGATTTTACATGATAATAAATATACATTGATCTTGGAATTGTGATTAATTTTGATTATGTAATACGTAATTTAAAATCAATAATACCACAAAATTCTTTAATAATCTTGGGGATTTATATAATTTTTAGAAAATTTTGATTATTTATTATTTTTTTGAAAAAATGTATCTTACGATACGATAGCGATTCAAAAAATTAGGTTTTTGATACACATACGTACACGATTTGATAACCATTTCAAAATTATCATAGCAGGAGGTAAGTGATGATTTTAGAAATCAGGGGAGGTAATGGATTATTTTATACCTTGGGGTTTTCTGATAATTTTTTAAACCTTAAGGGTGGTCACAGGCCTAAAACAATTATGAAGTGATATTAACTGGGCCTTAATATCAACTCAGCCTGCTTGAAAGCCCATTAAAAAGTGAACAATTGGGCCATTGACAGGTTTTCACGATTTTCAATATTTTAAAAATTAAAAATAAATATATTAAAGAAATTTTAAATTTTATTACTTTTTTTTTTTTTTTTGTAACCAAGGTTCTGACCAGCTTACGGATATCTCAACTATTCTCAGAGAGGCTAGTGCAACAACCCATTGCCAAAACCCCTCACTTAAATCGTAGATGTATATAGGGAATCGAATCTAAACCGTGCATTTGCTACACTATCCCAGTTCGCCCTAACCATCTAGACTACCATAGATGGGTTTTAAATTTTATTACGTTTTTGACTAAATTCCCATATATAAAATCTAGAAAGGCCAATGTAAATGTGAACTATATAACCACTCCCTTAATTAACAACTAACCAAACGTGTACATGCTTTATTGGAGAAGAATAATAAGGGCTATAATATGGACATTTCAAATAGCATAAAGTCAAAAATAATCAATTAAAAGTTTCAATCATAGGAATATTAGTCAAGGATTTGATTGAGGTATATTATTAGGTAGCTACCCACCATGCCCCATTGCTTAGGCATGTGCAATCTTTGAACAAATTAATATATATATATATATATATATATATAATTATGAAGGTGGTCCAACACAAATGTATTATTATATGTCACTTTGTGATTTATTATCTAATATCTAGCTAGCTCTTAATTGCAATAATAATAATTTAATATTTGGTTAACTAACTATATTGTGTAACAAAATAATGAATAATAATGTTGGTCAAATTAATTGATGGAAGTAGCCATGCACGATGTGTAGATACGGTTTGATTTTTTGTTTAATATTATACAATAAGATTTGTCACATTTTTATATAGAAAGGCTCCCCGTGACCTAATTTGGGAGCTAGCCTAGCATAGAAAAGCTTATGCTATTTGATCAATTAGCATCTAGGTCACATTCATATATTAATTAACTATATACATAGTTATGTATTATATTTGTATAACATACTCTAACCCCCTAAGGTTTTCCTAATTAAATAAACCCCCTTCGTATTGGATATTGTTGTGAACCCCTTACAAAATTACAAATTGTCAAAGTTAGGGTTGTATCGTTAATATAACAGATAAAGGTATAAATGAATAATATATACAGATAAGCTATGCTATTTGATCAACTAGCATCTAGTTCACATATTATATTAATTATAACATATAGATATTTGTATTATTATTTACTTATTCTAAACCCCTGAGGTTTGCACCAATGACAAAGAACCCTCGTTGTATTGGATATTGTTTTGAACCCTCTGCAAATGCCAAACGTTAAGGTTTTATAGTAAAAATAACAGATAATAAGGCAAAATGTAAATGCAGTTATAAATATACGGATATTGTTTGAAGCAAATAGCCTTGGAATCCCAAAGATATGTTCTTTTTTTGCAGTATTTTTTAGTGTAATGTATATTACTTTATTTGCGTAATATCCTAGATCTTGAGGGCATTTGTGTCATTCTAAACATGTTGATTTGCTACCAATAAAATAACATTTAAGCGTATGCCAGGGGTAAATAAGGTATTTAGCTGCTTAGGTTATGTCGTAACTTGACAAACAACAGGGGGTTCACAATAATATCCAATACCACAGGGGTTATTGTCATAGAGGTAATTACCCCTTAATATTAATGTATTATTGCTTTTATATATGCTTCTTTATTCCTTAGTTTCCATGATAGTCAAAGATTTAATCTTATTCTGAAAGACACTCGGTTTCTTCCGTCTCTAATCTTAAATTTCTGTCCTTTAAAAATTTTAATTTTGGGGTGAAACTTTCATAATTTTGAACGGGTTTAACAATTTCCAATATGATTTTTGTTAAAAAAAATAAAAAAAATACCGATACTATAATATATCTCACGCTAACCAGAAAACACACTCTTATAGTTCAATATATATAATTCATTCATCATTAAAAAGAACTAAATCTATACGAACATATTTTCAAGATAACAGTATAAATTTAAATAATGGTTATCAAAGATATATATAAATATTTTTAACCTGTTAAATTATAATTATTTTGTTATATATATACATATAAACATGTGTAACACTTATAGGCAGAGGAAATCAACTCACCTACCCCATTGAAAATTTGAACCTAATGCGACTGAATTTCTTGATGGCCATGTGAAGGGGAATTGAAATTAGGTCACAAAGTAACATTCGTTCATATGGTAGAGACACTTTAAATATTTTCTTTTTTTTTATGACCCCATTTCATATCAATTCACTTTTAAATTTGTATCTATATACAACTATACTTTTAAGAAAGGGGAAGCCCTGAGTTGAGGCCGTATGTTTGCCCTTGATTCATTTAATTCTTCATTCTTGGGGATCGATTATATATATATATATATATTATATATATATATATATATATATATATATATATATATATATATATATATATATATATATATTCAGGTGATGAATACTGAAAAGTCCACATGGGGACTCTTTGAATTACTGGCTAAGCTATATCATGTTCATGTCTTCTCCTTTAGAAAGCTTCAATTTCTTCTTTTTTTCTGTTTCTTTTATTTTTTTTTTTTTGAGTAAACCCGGTAATTGTATCTCCCATGATTCGAACATAAAACCTCTAGATATAGCTGACTCTAGTGGTTAAAGGACTTTCATCGACCAGAAGAGAAGAGATAGTTCAAGTATTTTTGCAGAATTCTCTCTCGTATTCTCATCATTATGTTAAAATATAGAATACGAAGAATGTTAGCTAAGTTAATTCACTACAAATTCTAAAAGATGAGGGGTCTCTATCATAAACTAATATCAACAAAATTATGATTAAACTTAACAAAAAATATAGCATAATAAGATCCTCGTAATTATACATTAAAATCATTATACACTAAGGAATGATGGTAAAAGAGTAAAATGAGATTCACGAGTTTATGAGTTGCCAAGTCTCTCAGACATTAATAAGAGGGGCACTAAGGCTTTCACTCGTCGAAAGTCTCAAGACTCTGAAAAATTAGATGAAATACACACAAACTAACCGAACACTCCAATGATAAAAAAGAAAAAACAAAAAAGTGGGGTGTAGCAGAAGAGAGACAAGAAGCCATATCATCTTTAAACAAATAACATGGAAGATCCCTAGACAATAATAAAATAAAATAAAAATGGTTTGAAATTAATATTATCCTAAAAAGATCAACAGTTTCAGCGAAAGCAGTCAGCACTCACGTACAGACATGTGCTCTTCTTTCATATTCACATGCATGTCGACGCTGTCTCTTCTCTCTTTTCTTATTTTATTTTATTAATTAATTTTTCAGCAATTGATGAAATGACACACTTTTGATTTCTATATATATTTTTTTATGTATATACGGTGTGCTTTTGGGTACTGGTTTTGATATTCTGTGGCCTTTTTGAAATTTAAAAAAGGTTTTCTTGCTTGCTTGTTCATTATCTTCTGGCATTTGCATGGAAGCTTGGGCAACTTGTAGCTTAAATTCCCTTTATCAATAATGCTGTTAAAGAGTTATTTCCAAACCAATTGGGTTATTCATGTATATTTCATCTTGTAAATTTAATAATAATATTTTTTTATATTTTTTTTTTCCTAACTATCCATTTTTTTGTCTGAAAATAGTGTTTGGGTCGGTTACACGTATATCCGACTAATCTATAGGTGATTAGCACAACATCTCTCACCGTCATGAATCTGCTAAATCTTGAGAGTGAGAGGATTTGAAACCTGATAATTAACCATTAACACTTTACATTTGGTGATTCTCCAAGTGAATTATATATATATATATATATATATATAATATATATAATAAGATAAATGTTATGAGATTGGTTCATATAATGATGTAATGCAATAGTAGTCGATTCCAAACCAATATATATGGATGATTTGATTTAGTCGATGATAATGAACTGTTTATATCCATTCTTTAAGACTAAAAGACAATTTATTTGGATTCAAAAGTAAAAAAAAAAAAAAGTATCATTTAGTGTTTATTATCATTGTCAACCGACGAATATCAAGGTTTTAAAAACATGTAAATATTCACACCAAAGAATTTTCGTAATATGTTAAAAAAACAAAAATCCAATATTACAGCTTTTGTTAGAAGAGAAGATGCAAGGATGAGTTTAAGGTGCACGGTTTCAGATTCAAATCCCTCTTGCCTCCAAAATTTAATCATGTGATCATTACTGTTTGATACTTTACTAGTCACTTATAATGATTATTCGACGCATACACAAACTGGTCTGAACAACCTGTTTGAGTTTAAGAAAAAGAAAAAAGGTAAGAGAGGTAATTAAAGATACATGTGCATGCATGGCAATTAAAAAAACTTAAAAAGTGATGAGAGTATTAAGAAATAAGAAATCAAATACCTATGTTAATTAATTAATTAATTAAGGGATTAATTAATTTAATTAAGGCATGAACCTATCACAGATTGTCACAATCTAGGAAGAATATATACAGATTTTGGACTGATAATCATATTCTCATTAAGGTGGGACCCAAAGAGGAAGATCAAATGTCTTGAGTGTGGTAGACAGTTGCTTATCACCCCAATAATCAACACCTAAATCAGTCCTTTTTTTTTTTTTTTTTTAAATTAATTTACAACTATCACTTGCTTGCACATGACTTTGTTTACCACATTTTGCCAGCTAAGCACCACCTGCCCAATTAAATTCAAAATTTTCTTCTCATCTTCAACCTCCTTTTACGGATTCCCTCACTTTCTTGGTATTTTCCCACCTTGATTTCACCATTAATATTCATAGAGACAATCAAAAATATAAAATAAATAAATAAATACCATTATAATGGTACGTGGCTACGTGCACAAGACGATGTTTAACTTGGTTTAAATTCCAGTTGACAATTTCACACTGAAATCCATGCTGCTCCCCAGTAATTTTGGCCCTCGTTTTCCATAAACAAACCCAAACTTTCTTCAACTCTTTCTTTACATTTTACTTGAAATAAGAGCTTGCTACATTTTTTTTATTCTTTTCTCATTATTATTATTATTAGTTTTTATAATCCGAAGAATTTCCGACCTGATTTTGCGAAACCAAGTTCAACACTGAAGTTTCCGTCGAACCCTATAATATTTGAGAAACAAAAATACAATCCGTAAATCTAAGAAACCATCATTATAGTGAACCAAATACCAGCTGGGCATGTGGAAATGTTGCAATTTAGGTATGGGCGACCCATCCTTTTGGTGGCCCATTGGTTTCATAAAAGTGATGCACTACAAAATTTGCCCACTGGATATCTCCTCATAATTAGCCTCTTCTCTTGCTTACTAATCAAGATTTTTTTTTCCACCCGATAAATCCGATAATTGCCTCTATGACTCAAAACAAGACCTTTTGGGTATAATTAACCTCAGTGGTTGAACGGTTTGTCATCCAGCTATAAAAGGAGAGGTCTGATCAAGATTTTTTAATAATTTTTCTTCCAAAAAGATAGATTTCACTTCTAATTTTGCCAAATTGGGCAAGTGAAGAACAATTAAAGGTACATTTAATCCTCTTCTTCCTCCAACTCTTCTTTTAAAATTGTACATTTTTTTGCCCAACACAAAGCTACAAAATCAAATTCTTAGAACCAAAAATTAGGAAATTAAACTACAATACATCGTTAAACTCGGAGCTCCAACCTTAAATCATATGCCTAAAATCGGGTCCGGTATGATGATGAATCACGTACTCATCCCCACCGTTCGATACTCCGAAAAATGAATTTTGAGTAAGGAATTGTTGTTGTTGTGCTTTTTGCAAGTCCTTTTGCCTCCTAAGCTCCATTACCTTCCTATGTGAATTTGAATGTTTTGTCGACATAAATGTTGGACTTGCTGCGGGTCGGTATTCGGGCACCAACCGACCTGACTTGTATCGAACTCCACATGCATTACACAATGTTTTCGGACCCATAGGTCCGGTTCGCCATTGTGGGGTCTTTTCTGCCCCACAATGCAAGCATTTCCGAATTGACCCTAAGTCTGTATTCAAACTTGAGCTCGAGTTCTCACGTTTCATAATTGGTGCTTTCGGAGACACATGAAGAAGACGCGTGGACCAATCGCAAGGTGCTGCACGGGAGCGCTTGGACCGAGCTTTGCCGGGCAATGGAGTTTCGGGTAGGAAAGCTGGGTTGTTGGGTTTCGGGCTGGTGGATTCCGAAATTCGGGTGGAGGCGGAGGAGGATTCGGGTCTGAGTGGTTTGGATCCAGATAACAAATGCATGTGATTGTGCTGTAAAGTCTGGTCTATTGAGAATGAATCCTTTAATTTTCGGGGTGAAACTTTCATAATTTTGAACGGGTTTAACAATTTCCAAATGATTTTTGTTAAAAAAAATAAAAAAAATACCGATACTATAATATATCTCACGTAACCAGAAAACACACTCTTATAGTTCAATATATATAATTCATTCATCATTAAAAAGAACTAAATCTATACGAACATATTTTCAAGATAACAGTATAAATTTAAATAATGGTTATCAAAGATATATATAAATATTTTTAACCTGTTAAATTATAATTATTTTGTTATATATATACATATAAACATGTGTAACACTTATAGGCAGAGGAAATCAACTCACCTACCCCATTGAAAATTTGAACCTAATGCGACTGAATTTTCTTGATGGCCATGTGAAGGGGAATTGAAATTAGGTCACAAAGTAACATTCGTTCATATGGTAGAGACACTTTAAATATTTTCTTTTTTTTTATGACCCCATTTCATATCAATTCACTTTTAAATTTGTATCTATATAACAACGTATACTTTTAAGAAAGGGGAAGCCCTGAGTTGAGGCCGTATGTTTGCCTTGATTCATTTAATTCTTCATTTTGGGGATCGATTATATATATATATATATATATATATATATATATATATATATATATATATATATATATATATATATATATATATATATATTCAGGTGATGAATACTGAAAAGTCCACATGGGGACTCTTTGAATTACTGGCTAAGCTATATCATGTTCATGTCTTCTCCTTTAAGAAAGCTTCAATTTTCTTCTTTTTTTCTGTTTCTTATTATTTTTTTTTTTTTGAGTAAACCCGGTAATTGTATCTCCCATGATTCGAACATAAAACCTCTAGATATAGCTGACTCTAGTGGTTAAAGGACTTTCATCGACCAGAAGAGAAGAGATAGTTCAAGTATTTTTGCAGAATTCTCTCTCATTCTCATCATTATGTTAAAATATAGAATACGAAGAATGTTAAGCTAAGTTAATTCACTACAAATTCTAAAAGATGAGGGTCTCTATTCATAAACTAATATCAACAAAATTATGATTAAACTTAACAAAAAATATAGCATAATAAGATCCTCGTAATTATACATTAGAAAATCATTATACACTAAGGAATGATGGTAAAAGAGTAAAATGAGATTCACGAGTTTATGAGTTGCAAGTCTCTCAGACATTAATAAGAGGGGCACTAAGGCTTTCACTCGGTCGAAAGTCTCAAGACTCTGAAAAATTAGATGAAATACACACAAACTAACCGAACACTCCAATGATAAAAAAGAAAAAACAAAAAAGTGGGGTGTGCAGAAGAGAGACAAGAAGCCATATCATCTTTAAACAAATAACATGGAAGATCCCTAGACAATAATAAAATAAAATAAAAATGGTTTGAAATTAATATTATCCTAAAAAGATCAACAGTTCAGCGAAAGCAGTCATGCACGTCACGTACAGACATGTGCTCTTCTTTCATATTCACATGCATGTCGACGCTGTCTCTTCTCTCTTTTTTATTTTTATTTTATTAATTAATTTTTCAGCAATTGATGAAATGACACACTTTTGATTTCTATATTATTTTTTTATGTATATACGGTGTGCTTTTGGGTACTGGTTTTGATATTCTGTGGCCTTTTTGAAATTTAAAAAAGGTTTTCTTGCTTGCTTGTTCATTATCTTCTGGCATTTGCATGGAAGCTTGGGCAACTTGTAGCTTAAATTCCCTTTATCAATAATGCTGTTAAAGAGTTATTTCCAAACCAATTGGGTTATTCATGTATATTTCATCTTGTAAATTTAATATATAATATTTATTTTATATTTTTTTTTTTCCTAACTATCCATTTTTTTGTCTGAAATATAGGTTTGGGTCGGTTTACACGTATATCCGACTAATCATAGGTGATTAGCACAACATCTCTCACCGTCATGAATCTGCTAAATCTTGAGAGTGAGAGGATTTGAACCTGATAATTAACCATTAACACTTTACATTTGGTGATTCTCCAAGTGAATTATATATATATATATATATATATATAATATATATAATAAGATGAAATGTTATGAGATTGGTTCATATAATGATGTAATGCAATAGTCGTCGATTCCAAAACCAATATACCCATTGCCAAAACCCCTCACTTAAATCGTAGATGTTCATATAGGGAATCGAATCTAAAACCGTGCATTTGCCTACACTATTCTCAGTTCGTCCTAACCATCTAGACTATCCATAGATGGGTTTTAAATTTTATTACGTTTTTGACTAAATTCCCATATATAAAATCTAGAAAGGCCAATGTTAAATGTGAACTATATAACCACTCCCTTAATTAACAACTAAACCAAACGTGTACATGCTTTATTGGAGAAGAATAATAAGGGCTATAATATGGACAATTTCAAATAGCATAAAGTCAAAAATAATGCAATTAAAAGTTTCAATCATAGGAATATTAGTCAAAGGATTTGATTGAGGTATATCTATTAGGTAGCTACCCACCATGCCCCATTGCTTAGGCATGTGCAATCTTTGAACAAATTAATTATAATATATATATATATATAATTATGAAGGTGGTCCAACACTAAATGTATTATTATATGTCACTTTGTGATCTTATTATTCTAATAATCTAGCTAGCTCTTAATTGCAATAATAATAATTTATATATTATGGTTAACTAACTATATACGTGTGAACAAAATAATGATAATAATAATGTTTGGTCAAATTAATTGATGGAAGTAGCCATGCACGATGTGTAGATACGGTTTGATTTTTAGTTTAATATTATACAATAAGATTTGTCACATTCTTCTTATATAGAAAGTGCTCCCCGTGACCTAATTTGGGATGAGCTAGCCTAGCATTAGAAAAGCTATATGCTATTTGATCAATTAGCATCTAGTTCACATTCATATATTAATATTAACTATATATACATAGTTATGTATTATTATTTTGTATAACATACTCTAAACCCCCTAAGGTTTGCCCTAATCAAATAAACCCCCTATCGTATTGGATATTGTTGTGAACCCCTTACAAAATTACAAATTGTCAAAAGTTAGGGTTGTATCGTTAAATATAACAGATAAATGGTATAAATGTAATAATATATAACAGATAAAGCTATGCTATTTGATCAACTAGCATCTAGTTCACATTCATATATTAATATTAACTATATAGATAGCTTGTATTATTATTTTTACATTATCTAAACCCCCTTGAGGTTTGCACCAATGACAAGAAACCCTCTGTTGTATTGGATATTGTTTTGAACCCTCTGCAAATTGCCAAACGTTAAGGTTTTATAGTTAAATATAACAGATAAAGGGCATAAATGTAAATGCAGTTATAAATATAACGGATATTGTTTGAAGCAAATAGCCTTTGGAATCCCAACAGATATGTTTCTTTTTTTGCAGTATTTTTTAGTGTAATGTATATTACTTTATTTGCGTAATATCCTAGCATCCTTGAGGGCATTTGTGTCATTTACTAACATGTTGATTTGCTACCACATAAAATTAACAATTTAAGCGTATGCCAGGGGTAAATAAGGTATTTAGCGCTTAGGTTATGTCAGTAACTATGACAAACAACAGGGGGTTCAATAATATCCAATACCACAGGGGTTATTGTCATAGAGGTAATTACCCCTTAATATTAATGTATTATTGCTTTTATATAATATGCTTCTTTATTCCTTAGTTTCCATGATAGTCAAAGATTTAATCTTATATTCTGAAAGACACTCGGTTTCTTCCGTCTCTAATCTTCAAATTTCTGTCCTTTAAAAATTTTAATTTCGGGGTGAAACTTTCATTAATTTTGAACGGGTTTAACAATTTCCAAATATGATTTTTGTTAAAAAAAAAAAAAAAATACCCGTACTAATAATATATCTCAGATAAACCAGAAACACATCTTATAGTTCAATATATATAATTCATTTCATCATTAAAAAAGAAACTAAATTATACGAACATATTTTCAAGATAACAGTATAAATTTAAATAATGGTTACAAAGATACTATATAATATATTTAACCTGTTAAATTATTAATTATTTTTGTATATATATACATAAAAAAATTGTAAACATATATAGGCAGATGGAAATCAACCTAACCTACCCCATTGAAAATTTGAACCTAATGCGACTGAATTATCTTGATGGCCATGTGAAGGGGAATTGAAATTAGGTCACAAAGTAACATTCGTTCATATGGTAGAGACACTTTAATATTTTCTTTTTTCTTTTATGACCCCATTCATATCAATTCACTTTTATAAATTTGTATCTATATACAACGTATACTTTTAGAAAGGGGAAGCCCTGAGTTGAGGCCGTAATGTTTGCCATTATGATTCATTTAATTCTTCATTCTGGGGATCGATTATATATATATATATATATATATATATATATATAATATATATATATATATATATATATATATATATATATATATATATATATATCTTCAGGTTGATGAATACTGAAAGTCACATGGGGACTCTTGAATACTGGCTAAGCTATATCATGTTCAGTCTTCTCCTTTAAGAAAGCTTCAAGTATTCTTTTTTCTTTCTGTTTCTATTTTATTTTTATTTTTTTTGTTTGAGTAAACCCGGTAATTGTATCTCCCATGATTCGAAAATAAAACCTCTAGATATAGCTGACTCTAGTGGTTAAAGGACTTGTCATCCGACCAGAGAGAAGAGATAGTTCAAGTATTTTGCAGAATTCTCTCTCCTATTCTATCATTATGTTAAATATAGAGAATACGAAGAATGTTTAAGCTAAGTTAATTCACTACAAATTCTAAGATGAGGGGTCTCTATTCATAAACTATATCAACAAAAATTATGATTATAACTTAAAACAAATAAATATATAGCATAATAAGATCCTCGTAATTATACATTAGAAATCCTTATCACCATAAGTGACTGATGGTAAAAAG